TTTTGGTTTTTAAGATATAAATAAAACTAATATTTTGATTACTCTGCAGCTTACCCTTTTTCACCCAGTAGTATGCCTTGCAGATCTTTCTGTGTCTGTGCTACAGAATTTACACACCATAGACACTGGATAAATGTTTACAAAATAAACCTTAGACTTCAATCACATACTCCTTTCATCCAAAATAGACATCATGCTTTTCGCTCCATTTTCATCTCGTTGAAGCATTTTCTTCCCCTTTTTGGTTATTCTTTTTTTTAATTTTTTTTATTTTTTAATTAAAAAAATTTTTTTTTTCAACGTTTATTTATTTTTGGGAAAGAGAGAGACAGAGCATGAACGGGGGAGGGGCAGAGAGAGAGGGAGACACAGAATCGGAAACAGGCTCCAGGCTCTGAGCCATCGGCCCAGAGCCTGACGTGGGGCTCGAACTCAGGGACTGCGAGATCGTGACCTGGCTGAAGTCGGACGCTTAACCGACTGCGCCACCCAGGCACCCCCCTTTTTGGTTATTCTTAATCAAGATCTCTTTCATGGCAAGTATGGCATAGCAATACAGGTTAGTTGCATTAAAGATCAATGAAATGTGTGTGCCTGACTGTGTGTAGTGTCATTTTATTGGGTAATTTTTCCCATGTAAACCAAACTCTAACTTATTATTTTCAGCTGTCTCATATAAATTTTTAATTTTTTTTTACTATTCCTATAACTCAGTAGTTCTCAAATTTTACTGTGCATCAGCTGCACCTGGGGATCTATTAAAACCCAGATTGCTGGGCAACATCCCACAGTCTCTGAATCAGTAGATACGGGACGTGCTTGCAAATTTCCTTTTCTAACAAGTTTGCATGCTGATGCTCCCGATCCAGGGACCACACTTGGAGGATCGCTGATTTGTAAGACTCTCCCTGATCCGCCCTAGGGTATCCTGATCCCTTCTCTGCACTCACTGTTTACTGCACACAAGAACTACAGCTGAAAGCGCTGAGAGTGGCTGTGGCGGACACGCAGGGCTGGGGTGTGCATGACCTTCCAGGATGGGGCCAACAGGGACTCTAATGTGCAGAACGGAGAATGACAGTTCTGCCATGGGCTCAAACCACAAATTAAGGAACAATTCTCCCATGTGCAGATGGTGGAAAGAACTATCGTTTTCCCATTAGTCTGTGCTGCAGCACATGCTCTTACGGTTCAGTTTATAGTGGTTGCGTCACCACTATGAAAGATGGCATTGTAATGCAACTGCATGCAGGAAACAATTGTTTTATTTATATTCACTTCCTGATGGTAGCCGGCCAAATAAAATTCCAGGTATTAACTGAGTTGATGGATCCAATCAAATATTTACATGCATTTCATTGTTACTGTGGATTCAGTGCTGGTGTGATTTGCCTTGTAAAATGAGTGTACCAAACTATTTATTCAAGAATCTAAAATTGGTGACATATAAAAGGATTTTTCAAAAAAAATTACTGCAGAGTTCCTTTCTATAAACGGTGTAAAATTACTATATCTTTAACCATTTGATTTACAAAAACTGCTTATTTGTACATATATTTTTTATTTTTATTTTTTATTTTTTAAAATTTACATCCAAATTAGTTAGCATATAGTGAAACAATGGTTTCAGGAGTAGATTCCTTATGTTTATACATATATTGGGCAGAGAAAATACATCATTTACAGAATTATCCAAAATACAAATGTAATGTATGTATCTAAAACATATAATGGAATGTTTATTCTTGAAAATAATGAGATATATGAGACATAATACTACTTCTAAGAATTTAATCTGCTAGATAAATTATAATTCTTGTAAAGGTTTAAATATTTACATTTAGAGCAAACATTTTAATGTTGATGCCATAATTAATGCACTCAGAATCAGGAAAATGCATTGGGGTTGATCAGTATATTTGACCCATGTTGCTAATGTGCTTAAGATATTTGTGCGAAGAAACGTCGCCATTTCTGGAAATGGACTAAAAAAATACTATTACTTATTAACTATTAGCTTTCATTAAGCATTCAACTGTCCATAAAAATATGTAGTGTTTTTTATGTGTTGACTTAAACTTTATGTAAATGGCATTGTAAGAGTATGTATCATTCTTCAACTCCCTTTTGTCCCTGAACAATTTACTTGTTTTAATTACTGTGTGGTATTCTGTCTTATATCTATAACCAAGTTTGTTTATCTATTCCCTTACAGTGGACATTTAGATTGTTTCCAATTTTTCAATGCTAGAATTCTTCAGTGAATGCTGTCACGATTTATTTCCTTGAGCACATATGGTGTGTAATCTAGAAGTGAAATTGAATAGTATACGAATATGTAGCCTTATTAGATATTGTCAAATTGCTCTCTGGAGTAGTTGTACCAGATGATATTGCGTCTAGTACTGTATGAAGGTTCTTGCTTCACATTTTTTTCCAATACCTGAATGTAAAAGTTTTAAATTTTGTCCAGCTCGAAGTGTGACATTTCATTGTTTTAATATTTAATATTCCTAATATTCCTAATTATTGGCACCGATAGAGACTGTGCTTCTTTTCTTATTTTTATTAGTAATTGGGTTTTCCTTTTCTGTGAACTGTACAATTATGCTATGCCAATTTTTCTACTGTTTTGTCTCTTTTTTTAAAAATATTGATTATAAGTCTCTATGTAATCTGACCACTATCCCTGTTCTTGGTTATATACTTTGCAAATATTTTCTCCAGGTCTGTGGCTTGTATTTTAATTTTGTTTCACGGTAATCTTGCAGTTGTTGAAGTTTTTGTAGTGTAAGAAATATTATCAATTTTTTTCCCTTAAGGTTTTTATGTCTTTTTCTTTTTCTCTTATCTAAGAAAACTTCCTTAGTCTGGTGTCCTCAGAAAGTTTTAAAGATTGCTTTTTACACTAGGTCTTTATGTAGGACTATGTTGTATGTTGTAGGTAGCATCAATTAATTTTTTCCATATGGATTATTTGTGGCACTGGCATTTGTTATTGAATAATCCATTCTTAAAAAAATTTTTTTTAATGTTTATTTTAATTTTTGAGAGACAGACACTGTGAGCCAGGAAGGGTCAGAGAGAGAGGAAGACACAGAATCCAAAAAGACTCCAGTCTCTGAGCTGTCAGCACATAGCTCGACGTGGGGCTTGAACTCATGAGTGGTGAGATCATGACCTGAGCCGAAGTCGGACGCTTAGCCGACTGAGCCACCCAGGTGCCCCTGAATTGTCCATTCTTTTACCTCTAATTTGTGTGTGTGGGTCTGTTCAAATTTTTTAAAATTAATTAATTAATTAATGTTGTTGTTGTTGTTCCATTATTCTATTGACTTATTTCTGCAGTTGTAGAAAAGCATGCATTTGTAAATTTTTCTATGAATTCGTTACATAGCCCCTTGGAATTTTCCATGCCTTCTGTAATTTCAGTCAGGTAAACAATAGTCTGTGGACATCAATTTGGTCCTTGCTGTTGAATCAGTGTGGCAGTCATTAGTGTAGTCTACCAAATGATTCCAGCTCTCTTGCCTTCTGGGAAACAGTGGGATTGCATTTCCTACTCTCTTTGCATTTGGGCACAAACATATGACTTATTTGCAATGGCTTCATTCTTATGTAGAAGCTTTAAATAGAAGCTCCAGGAACCAGCCTGTGACTTGCCACATGTTTTATCTCCTGCCTCAGCAATCGTGGAAGCATGGAGATGGAAATGCCCTGGTAGACATAGAGATAGACACAGAGTAGAGCCCCAAGTGACCTTTGGTAGACATGCAGCTGAATGAAAAACAGATCTTTGTCATCTTAAGCCATGGGGATTTTTTGGCATTGTTCATTACTCCTATGAAACCCGGTATATCCTGACTGGTATAATTAATACTGTGTAATTAGAAACTTGATTGGCAAAATGGTAAACAAATACCTTGGCTTTGTCAGGTAATGATTATAGTTTAAGGTCTCTCTTTTCACTTCCTTTCCCCTCTTCCTTCCAATTGTATCACCCTCAGTGCACTCATACTCCCCAATATCCATGACATGTCAAACCAATTGGAGCCAATTTCTGATGGCCTGTATATCCTCTAACAGCCTACAGTTCCTCACACAGCCTGTATTTCTTCCTTCAAGCCTATATTTTCTCTCTTTGAGTGTCTACATTTTAGAAGATGGTACCTGAAGGGGTGCCCGGGTGGCTTAGTCGGTTGGGTGTCCGGTTTTGGCTCAGGTCATGATCTCACAGTTTGTGGGTTTGAGCCCTGCCTCGGGGTCTGTGCTGACAGCTCAGAGCCTGGAGCCTGCTTCGGATTCTGTGTCTCTCTTTCTGCTCCTCCCCCACTTGCACTCTGTCTCTCTCTCTCAAAAATAAACATTAACAAAAATAAGAAGATGATACCTGAACAGATAAATGTTTTATCTAAAATCTTAGATCATAAAGTTCAACTTTTTGACCCTAGAGTGGGAGGTCATTAGTGAAAAGCATATTTTCTCAGCTTCCTCTTAGTATCACCTTGGTGTCTACCGACTTGATATGCATCTTAGACTGGCTCTCATGTTAAAATACATAATTCTTTGCCAGGGTTGCTCACATTCACACATTTGTGTGTTCAGTATCTGACTCATATTTCTGGAATGTTCAGGATAGGAGGGTAAAGATAAGAAGTGGGGGTGGCACTAAGAAGACACTTCCCAGATGGAAGTATCTTTTTCACATAATCTCTCCACCAATGAAAATTTCCCTTATATTTGATAAATTCCTCCTAAACATGCAAAATCATTGCATCCTATGGTAGGTTTAGGTAGTAATGGATGAGGGGAGGGAATTAATGTCCAGAAAACTACGAGAAAAATCATCTCAAGTATCAAAAGCTACCATTTATACCTGTGATAGTTTCACTAAAGAATAGTAAACATTTCTGATGTTAGAATACTTCTTGCCAAACTTCCTGTTCTTTAAAAAATAATGGTTGATTGGTTAACTAAAGTTTACATCTGTTTCTTTTTAGGTGGTTCTTTGGAGCAGTCAAGAGAACAGATGCAGAAAAACAACTATTATATTCAGAAAACCAGACTGGTGCCTTTCTAATCAGAGAGAGTGAAAGCCAGAAAGGAGATTTCGCCCTTTCAGGTATGGGCATTGTTTGTGTGATCTAAATATGGGTTTGAGAGTCTGTAGTCATGAACCTGCTGTGTGAACATGGACAGGTTAATTTGAAATTTGCCTTATTTCTTATTTTCGTAGTAAGTACCAAAATTAAATATGAACTACCCAAGAGTAATATAGAAATTAACAAACAGTTTCTAACTATGGATAGAAGTTTCCATATGAAATGAAGATTAAATAGGTCTGGCTGCATTTTCTCACTTTTGTATTATCTAGGGGTTTCTCCTTCTAGGGAAATGATAAGCAAAAAGTAGAAACTACATTGTTGTCAAATTTGATCTTTCCACAATACAGTTTCAATTTTTGCATTTCATTTGTCTTTGCCTGGTCGATAGAAAATGAATTGAAATGTTGGATACAAATGCATTTGGTTAATCCCATGACTTGTAAAATTTGGTCAAATATAGTTTTTCAGCTAAAGAGTCAAATACATGTTGACTTTACATTGTCTTAGGAAGGAGGAAAGGCCTGAGAATTATCTTTAATAGTTACAGGTGCTAATATGCATGTTTCTGCTTTCATGGATCTGTCTCTCAGTGTAGGTTGCAAAGCTATTGAATGTCCTTTCTTAAAGACCATTTAGACTCATCTGTCACATGAGACTTTTTCTCTCCTTGCTGTGCTCTGACCTCTGTATTGTCCGGGCCCATTGTATGTTATTATGCCCTTTAAAGTGTGTACTCTGTTTCTCCAACTAGACATAAACCTTTTGGGGGAAGAGATTTTGCCTTCCTTTATCCCTGTTGGCCCTGTGGTAAATGTTTATCATATCTTATTGTGTCTGCCTGGCTCCCTGAGCTGGAAGTCAGCATGGCCTTCATGGTGCAGTAGTGAAGCAGGCCCTGAGCCCACGTGTCCTAGGAACTTTGATTGGACCTGAACTCAGGCCAGACTATATGTGTTTGGTCCCCAGTTTTCTTCCTCACACCAGGAAGTCCCAAATATTAGGGCAGATGGATTGGAGCTGGAAAGGATTAAGGACAGTGGTGTTGAGGCAGTTTTTTTTTCAGAGGCTCCATCCTTCAGCCCCTGCCTATTCCAGCATCAAGTTAATATGGTGTTCTCAAATTGTTTGGTTCCAGCTCCACCCCTACTTAGTTAGAGGATGCTCTTCTGGTTACTATTTTTGAAACGTACCCAAGTAGGATGAGCCTCTGACCTTTCCAATCTTGCTTATATCTAAGGCAATAATCAAAGAATTTAATGACTGATATAGGTTGGGCATTAGCCACTCAGAATTGATGCCCTATCAGCCTGTGTCTTCATACCAGTGCACACCTATATATACCCAGGTGACATAAGTGAATATTTTATTAGGTATAATAACTTTTTTCTGATTATGAAAGCAGTATAAGCACTTTTATATGAACTATCTAAAATAATCTAAGATATCATAATCTAAAATATCACCTTCTGAAGATATATTTTTAATATTTGAATAGCTTTTCTGGCAAGCTTTTTTCTGTGCTTAACCTTTAAACATATTTATTTAAACAAACACACACACTCATATTCAGAAAATAAATTGAGATCATCTTGTACAGAAAAATATGTATAAATATAAATATGTGTGTGTATATACACACCTATTTGTATGTGTACAAACGCACACAATGGTTCTAGGCTCCATTTTTCTTATTCTTTCAGTATCCTTGAATATTTTTTGCATGTCCTTTAATATTTGTCTATATCATTATTTTTAGAAACCCTGCAATCTTCCATCGAAAGGGTATCTATTGAATGGGTATTAATCTATTTCATATTTTGTATATTTTCATTATTTTTAGTTATTTTGCTGTTATGAAATACGATATAGTGAACATCCTTATAGATAAATATTTGAAAATTTCCATGAGAATATTTACTCAGAGGAAGAAAAACATGTCTTTTGGAAATCTCTATGCTTAATGATAAGAAGAGAAGGATTTCTCATTTAAATGTATCCATGTTTGTTTATTTGGCTTTCCCAATACTTATATGTAAAATTAGGTAATCATTATTGGGCTAAAAGCGAGATTAAATGTTTTAGATTAGCATTAAACACAGAGAAGAAGAGTATTTCTATGAGGAAAACAAACTAAAAGTAGAATTGCCTGAGTCATATCTTTGAATAATGCCCAGACTACAGTGACTATTCTGAACACTTTCTAAGTAGAATATTATGGAACAAAACAGCTTTACGGGCTTAGAACAAAATTACAAGGATATTGGCTGTTATGTGCTGAGAATACTCTAGCGCTTGCTTATGGATCTAGGAAGCTTTGTAGGCCTTGCTCGGAAACCAGCATATCATTATGGATTCTTTTTGAATGAAGTCAAACAATTTAGAGTCTTTCAAATGAATTATCTGATTGCTGTGTATTCACTGGGGGACAAAGTAAATGCAGGCCATTATATTCTACTGAAAGGAAAATTTTCTTATTAGCCGGAAGGAGGGCTATCCAAGAGAAAAATGGAAAGAAAAGGTCTTCAATATGTCTACATTAAAACAAACAAACAAACAAACAACCCAACTACTGACTGTTGATTACCACTAAGGACCTTCAGATATACCCGTCATAGATTTATTTTCTAGTGCAGTTGTCCCCTTAATCAGCCTGAATTGATGGTCTTCAATTTTGCTGACTGCTATGCTGCCAAAGGAGGGCCAATAATACCCCTTTTCTATCTCTGTCTTTCCTACGTGAGTTTTCCTTAGAAGTATTGTCTTTATTCCTTGGGCGGCAATGGCTTGCAGCTGTCAGAGAAGAGCTTCATGAAGAAGCATGATTTATTGATGCTGGGGCGGGCTCGAAGCAGCGGCCCAAGGTTGGGGTGGGTGCTAATTGGTTTGTTGTGATCCTTGCATGGCTGTCGGCTCTGATGAGGTCTGAGTAGATCTGGAAAGAGAGTTAGGGCCATGACACTTCTCCTAACAGCAAGGCACTAATTAGCTGTGAATTACAGCTGCACTTTTGGATATTACATATTATATGTGGTAGCCAGAGAATCTGTCTTCATTAGATGCATGACAGGTAGTTTTAGTAGCCCTACTGTTATTTGTCATTGGTAGTGAATTGTTTTTCTGATGAAAAATATAAAATTTCGATTGCATGTCAACTTGTTGGGCTATCTTTTGACTTCAATCAAGTACTTCAGAGGAATTATTATTGTTATTACCATTAATATTAATTTGCTGTTTGGAGTTCTGTAAGCATTTATATTACTGTTTAAAGTACACTTTAAGGAAAATACACTTTGAAGGCTAAAATTGAGCTGCAGGTGGGTTTTTCAGAAGAGATTGTGCATTGCACATTGTAATTTTACCTTAAGCAACTCTGCATATAAAAACCTCTAAAGTTGTAGAGAGAATTCCAGATTCATTGTCAATGAAACCCTTTTAAGAGCAAACGATAACAGATTGGAGATAGTTGAAAAATGACTACATTGAGGACACGAGGCAGAAAAAGCTCATCAGCAATATTAAGGGAGATGCATTTAGAAGTTGATATCATTTATTTATACATTTGCTTATTTCTTCAACAACATTCGAGTGCCTACCATGTGCCAGGCCTCTGCTAGGTGAAGGGCAGCAAAGCAGCAAGGCACAGTCCCTGGACCCAGTCTTCAGGAAGGTACAGCTGTCTAGTGAGAGGAGTGGAGGCAGGGGCCCAGTCTCTGACGGGGAGCAAGAAGGTTTCACAGAGGAGGAAGCATTTGTGTTCTGGACCAATGATTGTTACCAGGTAGCAGTGTGGGAATGATTATTCCTGGCAAGGCAAGTGAATGGAGTTGTATGCCCGGTGTGTGTGTGTGTGTGTGTGTGTGTGTGTGTGTGTGTGTGTGTGTGTAGCAGGGATGGAGAAGAGGAGAGACGAAATGGCAGAAAATGAACCTGGAAAGGAAGGTTGGAGCTAGACTGTTCAGGGCCTTGTAGACTACGTGAAGAATTTGGATCTTGTTCTACAGAGGGAAATTTTAGACAGAAAGTGACCTGGTCTGACCTTTCAGAGTATATGGAGAAGGGATGAGTTTTGCAGGTGATAGTCTGAGGAGTGTTAGGGCAAATATGGTGGCATCCCTTGCAGCTGTTTGCAATCACAGGTGCAAGGCAGCAGAATTCATCAGCATTCTGCACAGAGGACTGATGGGACCCAAACTCAGCTGGTCACACCAAGGTTCTGCCCTGGCACAGGGTATCCCCAGAAACCACAGGGCCCCTCTGTTGCTCTCCTTTTCTTATGAGGCAAGTGTGGGAATCACTGAGGACTCACAACAGCAGTCTTTGCTTTGGTGCTAAGCAGTCTGAGTGTGGGTATCAACTACTTGCAGGGCTATTTGGAAATCCCAGCACGTATGGGCTTTGGGCACTGTGGGAAACTGCAGTTCATTTTTTGTCTGAGGAAACCATGGGGCCTGTTGCAAGTTGTGGTCGGGTGCAGTCCCTCTTGCTGGCCATAGGGGGTGATAGTGAAACCGGCTCAGTGGGCCCTCACCACACAATCAAGAAACAGCTCCTAGGGTTCTTTACTAGAGAGTCCTGCTTATCTCCAATGATGACAGCCTGAAGCCGGGCAGAGGTATGGCGAATGGAGAGTAGGAAACGGAAGTGAGAAATATTTAGAAGATGGAACCGACGGGAGTTGGTAGTTGATCAGAAGTAGGGTACAATCAGGATGCAGAAAAATTAGGATGACTCTTGTACCTCTGACTTGAGTGATGGGGGAACAATGTGACTTTAGTCAGAATGAGGTATATAGGAGGAGATGGCTTATAGGGAGAGAGGGGAGAAGACCAAGGGAAGAAAGCTTAGAGATGTTTGAAGCAATGGACATATGGTGGACATACAAGTAGCCACCATCTCTTTTTTGACTTGTTTTTGAATTTGAGCAGAATGCTTCTAGGATAATTTCCATTACAGTGAACATGTAGGTCCCACAGAATATGCATGACTTTTATGATACTTTGTGATTACTATGAAGTCC